GGTTGGCTCGGGACCAGTTCACGTCGATGTTAGCCGTGACAAATAATTGAACGATTATCATCAGGGGGTTCATAGTGCAGTACAAAAAGCCCTGAAATATTGCTCCCTCCGTGCAGAATATTGGTAGACGGTGTTGAAATTATATTAGTATAACGTATACATTATATTTCATGGGTGGAACGTTTCCCAGTGAACGATGGAGTAACGAAATCGGCTCATGTGCAGGTGAATTTTTACGTCACAGGATTGCAAGAGATGGCAGAGGCTTTGGGAGACCTTCAAACCAGCACTGGATTGACCATGGCTGATTATGATGATGATATTACATTGCGCATTACGGCTAACTTGCATAATATCCTACACAGATAATATGGCATTCCATGAGATCAAACAAAATGCATTAAATTGGTAAACTGGATATGAGTAAGCAATGCAGAACGTCTGTGAGTGATCTAAGATAATGGGCCATTTAGCGTCATTGGACTCAATGATTTGGATCAATCACAATGCGGGGAATACTCTGCATACCTCACTGTGTAGCAATCCAATAGCAATTGTGAAAGTGCATTAACATACCCGCTGTAGTCTAAACCATTCCTTGGTTCTTCAGCCAGCATCTTCACATTCATTTATGCAGGGTAGCTCCTCACTTTTCAACTCACCTTACCTGCCAACCTTTTTCGCTTGTCATGTATTTTCGGCACAGAAGTGCGGGCTATACATTCTGTGCACCCTATCGGCTTTGTAGTCGGTTCTGACAACATGAAAGTGGCTATTCCAAATAGCAAACATTAAAGGACAGATATCTCCCATTTAGACTCCTTGAATGTTGGCATTGACCTATATTTAGATTTGCACCATTAGGTGGAGAGGACAACACTGCGCCCATCCGCCTTTGTTTCCAAACTTCTGATGCAGACACAAAATACGGAGCCGTCGTTTCAGGATGAGTCGATATACGGGAAGCCCAGGTAATGTTCACATTCTACACGAACACACTCACACGCACCGCTAACTGAATGTAAAATAGCCTATAACCAAATCACCCTGAATGTGACGCACATTGCATTGAATCATGCTTATCTCCGTTCTCAGAGGCTAAGCATGTTTGTGCCTGGTTAGTATTTTAGGATGGGAACCTGCCTGGGGATACCACGTGTTGTACGTTTCGGCTGCGAGGTGGTCAGGAGATGGCGGTTGAATAATTTATTCTTGAATCTACTTGTGTGGATAGTTCATTGAGCGTTACCACCTTGTATGCATGATGGATTTCCTCTGGGTTCTCTGGTTTCCTCCCACATGAATCCAAACACTCACTAATGAAATTGGCCAAATATGCGAATTGCAGGTCCTCTGAATAACAAAAAAAGTCCCCAGACTTTTCTCGGTAACATGCAATGGCATTACATCCTCAGCCAATATACGGTCCAAAACACACATATGTTTAAACCCAGATTTTGTCGTAAAAAAAATTGGATATGTTGTAGATTACATTATCACAGATCTATGGCAATAGCTGCAGTACAGATTGCCCACCGCGGTATTGCTCTGTACATGTGATATCCAGCATTGACAGAGGAAGGGCCGCCCTGAGCGATGTATTGATCTCTCAAACCTTTGCGATTAAAGCGAGCGGCAGCTGTCAGCAAAAAAAAAACCCTCAACAAATAGGCCGTTAATATCCCCTGGTCCTAAAGTGTCGTTAATCATCGGCGCTCGCTGGACTTTACCGGAAGACTAATTAGGAGAGATGGGTTCGACTGGCTTGGGGATTAAAACTGCGTGGTTTTGACCATCAGCTTTTTTTTTCCTTTGCGTGCTCATGCCGCCTATATCCATCTTGCCTCTCTCAATGTGGATAAGCAATCTGGTGCGATCAGCCGTTCATAATAACTCGATGGTAATGGTTATTGATTCGGGTAAAGATTTTTGATGGTGACAGAGGTGGTCGGTAACGGACGTTCCACACCTTGAAAAAGAAGATGATGATGATGATGATGGGGGGAAATGAAAGGTTTTCGATAACGTTTGCAAAGTCGGTAAAAAGAAAAATACCAATACTAAAAAAAAACCACAAAGGCTCTTTTCACCACGGTGCATCTCCTCATGGCATTTAAAGCTCACACACACATTGCATTCGCTGCAATCAGTTGAACAAACAACGATCCATGACGCAGCCTGAAATTTACCTCCTACAGCAAGGCACTGAACTTAGTTGGATTTATTCTTACAGGAATGTTTCTTGACCATGGCACGATATCGCTACAGACTGCATATTGCCTTTGAAATATTAACATCTAAGGGGAAGCTTCTCAATATAGATTAGAGGTAAAAGCATCAGAGAGTGCTCGTTTATGGCAGTCAGGTTTTTTTTTCTTTATTTTTTTTCCAACTGGCGTCCAGCACTTTCCAGATAAAATATTATTTATTTATTCTGCCTCTTCACGTGCATCTATTGCTCCGAGGCTGGTGCATTTAATTTGTTATTTCCTTCATTTCCCTTTTATTTCAACCAGGTAAGAGCCCATTGAGTGTAGACGTGTCTTTTTGCAAGGGAGACCTAAAATACAGAGTACAATTGTAAAAGGTAATTGAAGCATTTTGAAAATTTAATCGAAAAAAAACATACGAAGTTTAAAGCAGTGTTGTGTTCTTAATATATCACCATTTCTGTATCATCGTCATCATCAGCCATGGCCAATCCACTGCTGGATGAAAGTCTTCCCAAGCCGCCGCCTCTCATGATCATGCGACGTAAAATTCCACCCAGTGCCAGCGCGTTGGCGGTTTTGATCGCTCCATCTCCGTGTGAAAGTGTTCTATTCCTTGGCTGTCACCCTATTAGTAATACTTTTCTTGCCCGTGAGCCATCAACCGTTCCAGGCGACGACGTGTTCTGCCCAAGCCCACTTACTTTCCTGAACAATTTGAATGATGCCGTTATCCTTTCGTGCGTGAGCGTTCTCTCATCCTTTTGTTCCTTTTCTGTCACTCCGATGCCTTTTTTGGTTCGACCGTTGCCACATACATTGCACGAACTTTCTCTGACGGCTCAAATCGTTATTTAAATGGAGACAGAATTAAAATAAATTATCCACTTCTGTAAAGAGAATACAAATTCATCGGTGTACACGTTAACATCTGTGAACTCACCAGCGGTGAAAAACATTGATCGATATCTCATAGCCTCAAGACTCTTATTAATTCCTCGCCCGATATTAGGTAATTCAACCGATTGACATGAATTGTACAAAGACGCACACTGGCTCGCGAGTCTCAATGCGACACCGTACTCTTGTCGTGTGACAGACTTCTACATGTCGGTTAACTAAGGCACAACCGTGCAGAGCATTCATGAGTATAACGCACCATTCAATCTCGGCCGCACAAACACTACTACATTTACGCACGTCACAATTCCTACGGAGGTGAAACGCATGGGGCTTACCTTCCTCGAGCACTTTCACAGTGACCTTTCACCTCGGGAGAGATTTCTCGAATTCTCTCGGATCGCCTCGGAGTGGCCTCGCACAGGAATATACCGCGGGGCAGAGCGCGAGCGAGAATGCGTTCCCACAGGCTCACGCATCGCGCGTGCGCGCACAAACGGCACGACTCGAGCCGCACGTACACCCCCTTGGAGCCCCGTCCAATTCTCACCGTGGCACCACCCGCCCCCACACCGCTTCCCAGTTGCTCGCTCCCCCACAACCCACTACCACCCACAGCCACCCACGACTCCCCACAGCAACCCAAGGGGCCACCCGCTCCTACTCACAGCCACACACTCCTACCCATAGCCACCGACTTCTATCCACCGCCGCCCCACTGTTACCCACAGCCACCCACTAACTGCCCATAGCCACCCACTACTACTCACAGCCACCCACTACTACTCACAGCTACCCACTACTACTCACTGCCACCCACTACTATCCACCGCCACCCACAGCCTGGGTACACCCACATTTCACATCCACTGCTCCTCACTGCCTTGTCCATATGATCCTGTACCTTGCAGGGCTGTTATGATTCACCACCTCCCCACTACCGCCAACACCAGAAATTTGGTCATTTTTGTGTCGTTTTGACCATCTCGTTTGTATTGCTTTATCTTTTACATCCATCTCATTTATGCAGCTTTGTTCGGCCGAGTTTTTTCTCAATAAAACGTATTCGTTGATATGTCAGTGTACCAAGGAGGCCAAGACACGAGAAAAAATACACGCGGTGTGGTAAGGACGACACAAAACGGAGTCGATCAAACTGCATGCCTGCTTCGTGACAATTAAACACACATCGCCTTTGATGGTGAACCTTTAAATCGTGACTGCTAATCCATGGCAGAATACATCTGAAAGGGCCCACTCGCGTAATTAAATGTATTCATTTAACTCTTTGACCTGGTGAGTGTCAATTGAAGTTCATTATCACTTTTGTAATAGCTCCAATTGTACCAATTCTGAATATCGCCTGCAAAAATTAAATTGTGCAATAAAATCTATTAATTTGAAAGTTCGTGCATAATCTGCGTTTGTCCCTGTGCTAATTTCTCAAGTTAAAAAAAAATACGCGTTCACATCTCGGGACAAATGTCGCCCACCTTCAATGCGGATAAACCAAGCACGTGCAGCTCAGTGACTTGCAGCCTTTGGCACAATACAAAGATACCCAAGTTAATTCTAGATTTAAAGCTTTCGTGACTGCTAGGATCCATACTCTTTGGTTCTTTTGGGTAAAGTCACGTAGGTGAAAATAAAATAACAAAAAATCACGACGTTTCGGCCACAACACAAGCGGCCTTCATCAGGTGAAGGGACGAAACTGTCTGGAGGACAGCGCTGGAGTGGGAGAAGCCACGCTTAGATCACGACCTTTAAGCTGTGTGAGAAGAAACAAAGCGCCTTGACAAAGGAATTAGCATATAATTTAGCATTGAAATGGCTTATTGAGATAGCTAAGTTAAAGTATACACATCCGCAGAGGTACCCCTTGACAAAGGAATTAGCATAGAATTTAGCATTGAAATAGCTGAGTGATTCGCTTGTAACTGGTCACAGAAATAGCTATGTTAAAGTCAGAGCATATACATTCACCGAGGCACCTAGTACTCATCAAACAGGAGAATTTAGCGAAACACAACCACGCTCAGACAGCGGACCTTTAAACTGTGTTAGTGTCCACATCGTCCGAAAGGTGGCGCCACAGGGGCGCTGCGTCCTATACGGTCTTGCCAAATTGTTGTAAATTAAACGCCGTTGGTTTCATCAGTTGAGGGCCCCACTCACTCTCGTTATCCTTTTGGTTCGGAAGACATGGTGGGGGTTGTTCGCGCATGCTTGGAACAAACCGAAAAGACATCGGAGCGTTGTACTGCACTACCGCGAAGACGTACCCATTCGGTGTATAACATGACTATTGCTTGGGGGTATATGACTTTGGTAGAGTAGCACAACTACCAGTCATGAGTTCAAATCCTAGACACGGTTCGCAGAAGCCCTTCCTTATTGTTACCGAAGGGGGCCAGATAAATGAACACCGCTTGCTGCAGGGCAAACTGGTTTTGGGGCCGTCCATAAATGACGTCACGCGATTTTGGACGATTTTTGACCCCCCCCCCCCCGCCCATCGTCACAAGGCGTCATAAAAAGTCCGATCCCCCCCCCCAAATATGACGTCACAACGCTCTGCCCCACCCCAAAAAATTTAAATATGCCATGCTTCAAATCGCTTTAAACTATTGTCATTGTAGTGCGTATTTAATGTGCCGCTGCACTCTGATGTTGTAGGAGAACACATTTATTTTTAAAAAATTCTATTTAATTAAGTAGAAAGTGTTGTCGATATTTAATTAAAGTTGCGCATTTTGATGTGACGTCACATTTCTGACCAAATTATTATGAATGCCTGAGAAGCGAGATATGTTTGCACCTTTGCAAGTATTTGGATGGTATACCTGGTATACCCAGACCGTCACCCATCCAAATACCAGGTATACCTGGTATACCAGGTATACCTATACCAGGTATTCCCAGACCGCACTGTGTGTGTGAGCTTTAATGCAAGGTAGCCAAGATATGTGAGTGCTATAACACTCCGGTATTTTTTTACGCATTTCAAACCCTCATTTACGTAATCGGCCAAACATGCCAATACAGAACGCTCCTTGAATCTAGGCAAAGCGTTCCTGGGTAAAGGGCATATCTATTTATACCATTGATTCAAATTGAGTTGTCAATATTTGCAGTGCAATTATTACCAAATCTATCTGCCTCCGATTAGCACGGATGGCTACGTACGATGGGAAATAATTTCAACCTACATACATTGTCCTGCGGATAGACTGGTTCTGGTCAAATTGTTATGCAACTTCTACCACTGGCTCGCGACCAATATCAAAATCTGAATATGTATTTAAGCTGGAGGAATCCGATGAGCTATGAAGCTCTTTTTCACAGATGTCCAGAATGAGCGGGTCAGAACGGTACTGATAACAGAGCTGTTCATTGCTGAACAGTCAGTGCAGCGCTTTGACTTATTCGATGATGATGATGATGGATAATATATAAGGATGTTTAGATATATATAGATACCGGCTGCACGTACAGTGTATTGCGATCACAACTTAGCATTCAGACGCCCGATTCCAACGGCGAAGGGCGGCAATTTCTCGCTCGTATGAATAAGCAGAACTTAGGTGGCGATATATATTCTTGGCTCTTTCGGTAAAGTCACGTAGAAGGGAAACAATAAAATAATAAAAAAAATACATAAAACAATATTTTATTGTTTCCCTTCTACGTGGTGACTTTACCGAAAGAACCAAGAATATGAATCCCTGCAGTCACGAAAGCTTTAAATCAAAATTTAGGTGGCGATGTTCGTGTCAGAAGTCATTACGGAGACGTAGCACCATGACAGAATGGGAGAGAGGTGGGAGGGGAGGAGGAGGAGGAGGCCAGGAATCAGGGCAGGTTTTGACGACGGAGCCGCGGAGGGGAGGGCATGGCAGCGGTGAACTGGGAGAGGGATGGACGTGGGAAACACGTGTGTTGACTCCATTCCAGACATCACCTCTGTGCACCTTCACTCCAAATTGAATACACCCTCGCCGCGGCAGAAGGCGGCAGCAGCGCGAGCGGGCGACGTGGAATTATTTTTTTCCTAAAGCGCTCGGCGTTTCGCGCTCGGTGACACCATACGAACATGCGTGGGTGATATACGACATCATTTACGCTTAACACAAGCGTGCGGTGTTAATTAGCAGTTCAATAATTCATAGGGCACACTTTAAGGTGGAGAGAATTACTGCAATTCGTTAAGCTCTGCACTAAGTATACACGAACACCTGGGCTGTATTGCTCCGACAAGCAAAAACAATACAGTGAGGGAAAAAAGTATTTGATCCCCTGCTGATTTTGTACGTTTGCCCACTGACGAAGAAATGATCAGTCTATAATTTTAATGGTAAGTTCATTTGAACAGTGAGAGACAGAATAACAACAAGAAAATCCAGAAAAACGCATGTCAAAAATGTTATAAATTGATTTGCCTTTTAATGAGGGAAATAAGTTTTTGACCCCTCTGCAAAACATGACTTAGTACTTGGTGACAAAACCCTTGTTGGCAATCACAGAGGTCAGACGTTTCTTGTAGTTGGCCACCAGGTTTGCACACATCTCAGGAGGGATTTGTCCCACTTCTCTTTGCAGATCTTCTCCAAGTCATTAAGGTTTCGAGGCTGACGTTTGGCAACTCGAACCTTCAGCTCTCTCCACAGATTTTCTATGGGATTAAGGTCTGGAGACTGGCTAGGCCACTCCAGGACCTTAATGTGCTTCTTTTTGAGCACTCCTTTGTTGCTTTGGCCCGTGTGTTTTGGGTCATTGTCATGCTGGAATACCCATTCACGACCTATTTTCAATGCCCTGGCTGAGGGAAGGAGGTTCTCACCCAAGATTTGACGGTACATGGCCCCGTCCATCGTCCCTTTGATGCGGTGAAGTTGTCCTGTTCCCTGAGCAGAAAAAACACCCCCAAAGCATAATGTTTCCACCTCCATGTTTGAAGGTGGGAATGGTGTTCTTGGGGTCATAGGCAGCATTCCTCCTCCAAACACGGCGAGTTGAGTTGATGCCAAAGAGCTTCATTTTGGTCTCATCTGACCACAACACTTTCACCCAGTTATCCTCTGAATCATTCAGATGTTCATTGGCAAACTTCAGACGGGCATGTATATGTGCTTTCTTGAGCAGGGGGACCTTGCGGGCGCTGCAGGTTTTCAGTCCTTCACGGCGTAGTGTGTTACCAATTGTTTTCTTAGTGACTATGGTCCCAGCTGCCTTGAGATCATTGACAAGATCCTCCCGTGTAGTTCTGGGCTGATGCCTCACCGTTCTAATGATCATTGCAACTCCACGAGGTGAGATCTTGCATGGAGCCCCAGGCCGAGGGAGATTGACAGTTTTTTTGTGTTTCTTCCATTTGCGAATAATTGCACCAACTGTTGTCACCTTCTCACCAAGTTGCTTGGCAATGGTCTTGTAGCCCATTCCAGCCTTGTGTAGGTCTACAATCTTGTCCCTGACATCCTTGGAGAGCTCTTTGGTCTTGGCCATGGTGGAGAGTTTGGAATCTGATTG